CTATGGACTGCATATGTGTGAGATCATCTGGCCTTTGGCCTCCTTCCGACTTATTTCACTTCTCACGGCATCCTCTAGTTTCATCCAAATTGTAGCCTAAAGGTAAGATTTTCATCTATTTCACCCGGCAGTATGACATTCCGTTTCTTTGGGTTCTTTCCAGGTCTTGGCTGTTGTAGAGGGCACAGCAGTGAACGTTAAGGGTGCATGTATCTTTCTGAATTAGTGTTTTGTGTTCTTGGGAGAGATGCCACGGAGTGGAATCACTGGCTTCAGATGGCAGTTCTAATTTTAATTTTTCGAGATGTCTCCATACAGTTTTTCTGTAGACAGCGTTCCTACCAGCAGTGAATGAAGGTTCTCTCTTTTGTTTTTTGAGCCACATCCAGCAGTGCTCAGGTGTGATTCTTGGCTCTGTGCTCAGGAGTGATTTCTGGCTGTGCTTGGGGGACCCTGTGTGTGGGTTCTGGGGATTAGAACCCGGCTTGGAGGCAAGCAAGCAAAGTACCTTAATCCCTGCACTATCTCTCTGGCCTGAGAGTGGTTCCTTTTTTTTTTTTTTTAAACCACATCCCTCGTAACATCAAAAAAGTCTATTCTAAAATAGACTTTCTTAGAGAGGGATAGACATAGAAAGATTGCATTCATCTGGGGGATATAAAATAACAAAATATGAGATTAATACCCAAGAGTAGCTGAGATCAACACCAGGAGGATTACTCCATAGCTTAGAGGCCAGCCGGGTATTCTAGGGGAAAGGACAGTTCAGATAGAAAAGGGAGCACCAAATAAAGGGTGTTGGGAGGATCCTCCCAGGAGGGGAGATGCAGGTTGAAAGTAGACTGGACTGAACATGTTCGCCACTCAATGCCTCTTTTGCTGACCACAACACCCAAAAGGAGAGAGAGAACAAAAGGGAATACCCTGCCACAGTGGCAGGGGGGGATGGGGGGATGGGGGGGAGGGATATTATCCTGGTGGTGGAAAATGGGCACTGGTGGAGGGATGGGTATTTGATCGTGGTATGACCGAGATCCAAGCACAAAAATTTGTAAATCTACAACTGTACCTCATGGTGTTTCACTAATAATAAAAAAATAAAAAAATAATAAAAAAATAGACTTTCTTGATATATGCCATTCTTAACTGATGTGAGACAAAACCTCATTGTCATTTGACCTGCATCTCCGGATAGTTAGGGATGAGGAGCACTTTTTTACATGCCAGTTGGCATTGGTATGTCTTCTTTGAGCAAATGTCTTCAGCTCCTTCCTGATTATGTAGGGGGAGAGGGATTGGATTTTTTTGTTGTTGAACTTTGTGAGTGCTTTGTATATTTTGAATATTAGCACTTTATGGAGTGTAGCACTGTGGCACTGTCCTCCCGTTGTTCATCGATTTGCTCGAGTAGGCACCAGTAACGTCTCCATTGTGAGACTTGTTGTTACTATTTTTGGCATAGCAAATACGCCATGGGGAGTTTACCAGGCTCTGCCATGCAGGCCGGATACTCTTGATATGGCCCCCTCTTTGATAGGGACAAAGGAATCGAACTCAGGTTGGCCGCGTGCAAGGCAAACGCCCTACCTGCTGTGCTATCGCTCCAGCCCAATGTCATTGAGTGTATGACATGAAAATATTTTCTCTAATTCAGTGGGGTACAGAAACTATTTTTTTAAATTTTTGTTTGGTTTGAGTCCCACCAGGCAGTGCTCAGGCGTTACTCCTGGCTCTGCACTCAGGGATCACTCCTGGTGATGCTCAGGGGCCCAAGTGGGATGCCAGGGATCAAACCTGGGTTGGCCACATGCAAGGCAAACACCCTAACATCTCTCTAGTCCTAATGAAGAAATTATTTATTTGGATGTTTTCATGGGTTGGACCGATAGCACAGTGGGTAACATCTTTGCCTTGCACGCGGCCAACGTGGCCGACCCAGGTTCGATTCCTCTACCCCTCTTGGAGAGCCCGGCAAGCTACCGAGAGTATCTTGCCCGCACAGCAGAGCCTGGCAAGCTCCCTGTGATGTATTCAATATGCCAAAAACAGTAACAACAAGTCTCACAATTTGTTGTGAGATGTTACTGGTGCCCGCTCAATCAAATTGATGAACAACGGGAGTACAGTGCTACAGTGATGTTTTCATTGATTTATTTTTTCTTTCTGAATGGAGTGATATCACTGAATTCACCTCTGAAATCTTTATCATGGAGTGCTCTCACTGTGTTTCCTTCAGCGTATCTCATGGATTCGGATCTAATACTGAGGTTGTTAATCCATTTTCTGCAAAAAATCTCACTGTGAAACTTCCTTGCCCCCGTTTCATCCTGTGTTCATGAATTGGAATTCTTTTAGAAGAAGAGGATGTAGAAATTGGATCTAGATGCAGAGTGGATCTAGATGCATACTTAGAATCATTTTCTGACTTTTTGATTCTTCAGATAATTAGTTTGATAGTAATATTTGAAAAACACATTAAGTTTTGTTTTGTTTTTTGCCTTTTTGGGTCACACCCGGCCATGCACAGAGATTACTCCTGGCTCTGCACGCAGGAATTACCCCTGGTGGTGCTCAAGGGACCAAATGGGATGCTGGGAATTGAACCCGGGTCGGCTGCGTGCAAGGCAAAAGCCCTATTTGCTGTGCTATTGCTCCAGCCCCAAAACACATTAAGTTTTATTTAGTGTATTGACTTCTTATTTAAGCATTTATATTTCTTAATCCGGACTCTGTACCAGGCTGTGGGGCGGGTGAGAGCCCTCCCCACCCCAAGGGACCCAGTCCCGAGAGCCGACCTCCACTGACGACCAACGCCACGCTCCAGGCCACTTTCCAACACATTATAAGACACTTCCTTCCCACTTATGCCTCTCGGAGAGCCCAGCAAGCTACCGAGAGTTTCCCGCCCACACGAGCAGAGCCTGGCAAGCTCCCTGTGGCGTGTTCAATATACCCAGACCAGTAATGACTACAGGTCTCATTCCCCTGACCCTGAAAGAGCTTCCAATCATTGGAAAAGACGAGTAAGAAGAGGCTGCTAAAATCTCAGTGCTGGGAGGGATAGAGATGTTACTGGCACCCACTCAAGTAAATCGAAGATCAACGGGATGACAGTGATGATTTCTTAATACCGTATAATCTTAATACAAAGTGCTTATGTAAATACTTAATAGATGATCGTATTTCACTATAGGGAGATTGAAACACTCTCAGTTTTACAAATTAAAAAAATATATATCAATGTCGTTGGGCTGGAGAGATAAGGTTTTTTTTTTTTTTTTTTTTTTTTTTGCTTTTTGGGTCACACCCGGCGATGTACAGAGATTACTCCTGGTTTATGCACTCAGGAATTACTCCTGGAGGTGCTCAGGGGGCTGTATGGGATGCTGGGAGTCAAACCCGGGTTGGCCACGTGCAAGGCAAATGCCCTGCCCACTGTGCTATCACTCCAGCCCCTAGAGAGATAACTTAATGTGGGCTGGAGTGATAGCACAGCAATAGGGCGTTTGCCTTGCGCGCAGCCAGCCTGGCCGAGCCGGGTTCGATTCCTCCGCCCCTCTGGGAGAGCCTGGCAAGCTACTGAGAATATTCAATATGCCAAACACAGTAACAAGCAGTCTCACAATGGAGATGTTATTGGGCCCGCTCGAGCAAATCGATGAACAACGGGAGGACAGACGATGTGGACCGTTGGTGCCATGACCACTGCCAGAAATGACCCGAGCACAGAATCAGGAGCTGTCTGGAGCTTGGTGTCATTCATCATTCTGGAGGTGCTTGGGGAGCCCTGTACAGCTGGGGATCAAACCTGGGTCTCTGGAGTACAAACCGTGTACCAAGTGTGGTCCCAGAGCACTGTTGGGCATACCCCTTCCCCTCAAAAAAAAAAATTGAGTTAATACGTAATGCCTCCCCACAAATAGTTCCTAGAGCACACGCAGCTTCCATAAGGAGAACTCAAATGTTGCCATTTCTTGGCTTTTGTATGTTCACGTTGTCAGTCGCGGGCAGACTGGGTGCTGGCGCCTGTTTCTCGTGGCTTTTTATTGTCAGCAGTTTCCACCCTGACTCAGCAGAGGAGCATTCCACGGGAGTCGATTCATTTCTGAGTCAGTGATCGAGTCACTTCCTGAGGCTAGAAAGCTTTTTCAAGAACCAGGAAAGAGCCTGATGGAGAGACTGGCACTTACCAAACTTTGCCCTTCAAGCACCAAAGGGCAGACACTTGAGGCCTCACAGGCTGTGTGATTCTTTTTTTCTTTTTAATTTTTCATAGTGAAACACCATGAGGTACAGTTGTAGACTTACAAATTTTTGTGCTTGGGTTTCAGTTTTGCAATGATCAAGTACCCATCCCTCCACCAGTGCCCATTCTCCATCATTTACATTTCTTAAAAAAAATTTTGTTAGTGAAACACCATGAGGTACAGTTGCAGACTTACAAATTTGTGTGCTTGGGTTTCAGTTATACAATGATCGAGTACCCATCCCTCCACCAGTGCCCATTCTCCACCACCACGGATCCCAGTATCCCTCCCACCCCCCCCCCCCCATTCCCTCATCCCACCCTGCCTCTGTGGCTACTCAGGTCGCTGCTTTGAGCGTGAAAGTAGCCGTTGAGAAGCCGTTGAGAAGGTACAGAGTGAGTGAGCACGACCCAGTCCCAGCCATGCCAGATGGCTGGGGGTTCAACACCCCATCTCAGCTACACACATACACACACACACGCACACGCACACACGCACGCACACACACAAGCTCGCTCAGATTGTGGTCTCGCATTCATTCTTTTTTTTTTTCCTGCTTTTTGGGTCACACCTGGTGATGCACAGGGGTTACTCCTGGCTCCACACTCAGGAATTACTCCTGGCAGTGCTCAGGGGACCATCTGGGATGCTGGGAATTGAACCCGGGTCAGCCGCGTGCAAGGCAAATGCCCTCCCCGCTGTGCTATGTCTCCAGCCCTCGCATTCATTCTTGTCTCTCATTTTCCTCTCCAGGCAGAAGACTGACCTTTGGAAATATGTCTCTGGGAGATAGTCACGTCCTCCTAAAGACCTTGTGCTGGTGCTGCCATCGGAAAATCTGGTTACACTCTGGGGAGGCCTGCTGCCACGGCGGGACTGAACCCCCGCGGCCCTGAGATGAGTGTCCGGCCTGCGCGGGACACACCATGAATAGATACACCACAATCAGGCAACTCGGGGATGGGACCTATGGTTCCGTCCTGCTGGGAAGAAGCATCGAGTCTGGAGAGCTGATCGCGATTAAAAAGTGAGTCCCGGGGCTGGAGCAATAGCACAGCGGGGAGGGCGTTTGCCTTGCACGCGGTCGACCCGGGTTCGATTCCCAGCATCCCATAGGGTCCCCCGAGCACCGCCAGGAGTAATTCCTGAGTGCAGAACCAGGTGTAACCCCTGTGCAACACCAGGTATGATCCAAAAATCCAAAAAAAAAAAAAGTGAATCCTGATCTCGTCCCATGGTCCTTGGATCTCTGCGCCCTCTGCTTCCCGTTCCCGGCTCAGATCCATTCCTTAAAGAGTGGGCAGCGGGAAGAAGACTCTCACACACTGATTTCTGGGGAGTGCATACTTGTTGACACTGAGCATCTCACGTCAGAGGTTGTGAAGACGTTGCCACTTGAGGTCTACGCCTCTGCAGACGTGCTGCCTTTTTTTCCATTCCCTTCGGACTGGAGGTCACCTGGGCTGGCTGCTGCAGTGCTCACCAGGGGTGTGGCGTGCCGGAGATCACTCACTCTGCTGGTTCCAGGGAATCACAGACAGCAGAGTCTCCGGGCCCATGCTTGGCATGAGGGGGCAGTGCCAAGGATGGAATTTATGGCCTCGCGCTTGCAGCTTAGACCTTCTGCCACAGAGTTGGCCCTCAGCCCCACAACTGCTTTCTTGTTATAGTTGTTGCTGCTTTTTTTTTTTTTAAGGTTAGGGGGCCACTTCGGGCTCTGCGCTCAGGGATCATTCCTAGCAGGGCATGGAGGACTGGATGGGGTGCCAGGGAGCAAGCCCACAGAAGTCGCATGGAAGGCAAAACAAAACCCTTACTGATCTCTCTGGCACCTCACAACTTTTTTAAAAGCAGAGATGTAGTTCCGTGCTGGAATATTTGCTTTACTTGTGGGAGGTTCTGGGTTCAATGCCTGCGTCAAAGCGAAACAAGCAAGCAAAAAAACTCAAAAAAGGGCTGGAGCGATAGCACAGCAGGTAGGGCGTTTTCCTTGCTCATGGCCAACCTGGGTTCGATTCCCAGCATCCCATATGGTAGACTGAGCACCGCCAGGAGTAAGTCCTGAGTGCGAGTCAAGAGTAACCCCTGTGCATTGCCAGATGTGACCCAAAGAGGAAAAAAAAAAAACGCAAAAAAGATTAAGTGTTCTCATATTGTGTGGTAGTAATGAGTGACCAAGTAAATTAAGAAATATTATTTTAGGAGCCAGAGAGATCGCCCAGTAGGCTGAAACACATGCTTTGCGTGCAGAAGCCCTGGGTTAGATTCCTGGCATCACATGGTCCCCCGGGTGTGTCATGAAAACCAAAATCAAAAACAAAACAAAAAGAAACCTTATTTTGAAGGAAAGGAAAATGGAATTACGAGAAATGAAGTGACTTACTTGGGAATCACTCCCACATGTGGTGTTGGGCTGGTGACTACTGTCTTTCACCCGAGCCATTTCTCCTTGGCATTGTATTAATCCAGATGCATCATATTATTAGTTGCTGCGCGAACATTGATTCTAATAATGAGTGATTTCGAACAACAGACATCAGCTTACAGTGTGGGGGTCTGGAGATAGCTTAGCTGTTCACTGCTTTGGGCTATCTGAGGAGGTTCTAGTCAGAGTACTGGTTAGTGGACTCGGGGAGGACCCCGTCAAGCTCATGCCCCTGGTCGTGGGCAGCGTTCAGTATGGCCTTGAGGGCCTCTGTGTCCTGCGGGCTGCTCTGACTAGCCACGGGAGCCTCCGTGAACAGCTCATTGGCTTCCTTCTTCCAGGGAGTCTTCTTTTAGGATGGAACTCACCGCTGTTTTGCTTTCATAAACCATGGAAGCATCGTGCCCTCAAGCTGTCGGATGCTATTGGTTAGAAGCAAGTCATTGAAGAAGGAAGGGTTCTCCCTGGCATAAGAATACCAGAGAGGGGCTGGAGTGATAGCACAGCGGGTAGGGCATTTGCCTTGCACACAGCCGACACAGGTTCGATTCCCAGCATCCCATATGGTCCCCCGAGCACCGCCAGGAGCAATTCCTGAGTGCATGAGCCAGGAGTAACCCCTGAGCATCTCTGGGTGTGACCAAAAAAGCAAAAAAAAAAAAAGAATACCAGAGAGTGTGGCTCTTTGGGGACCATTGAAAAGCCTCTCTGTAACCAAATGCCGTCTCAGTGTAGCCACTTGGATGCCCTGCAGATTATCTCCAAGCCAACTTAGATAAAGCATAACCTCCTTCTCTTGCTCCAAGCTTATTCCCTCCCTGCAAGACCCGGGAATTCTTTGGACTTCCCTGCGTATACCCCACCGGTGGTCACTGATCATAGTAATCACCTAGTCCTACAGATGCTTAACGACTGAATATTTGTCTCACACGCCTACTTCTCTGTAATCCCACAGCCAATTCCCACTCCTCAGGCAACTTTTTCACATGGATCTTTAGAAGGTGGAGGAGACCCGGTTGCCCACCTTGGCAGCAGCTCAGTAAAGCCCCATTGACTGGGTCCTGCCTCTCTGTGCTAGATCTCTCCTGTTCCTGCCAGCACCTTCCAAACAGCCCTCTCTACCCAAGTCCTTAGCTCAGGCTCTGCTTTCAGGGGAACCCAAAGTAAGGCAGCTTCCAATATCTTCCTCCCAGTTTCAGGATCAAGGCCCCGAGTATTTTGGGGGAAGGACAGGGGGGTTGGCCTCACACGACTGTGCTCAGGTAACTCCTGGTCCTGCACTCAGGTATTACTCCTGGCAGTTCTTGAGGTGAACACCACATGGGGTGCCAGAATTTGAACCCAGGTCAGCAGCGTGCAAGGCAAAAATGCTCTACCCACTGTACTGTACAGCCCCAACCCCCCAAGTTCTAATGTGGGCAACAAGGTAGGTTGCTGTGTCCATGGGTGCCTTTATTCCCTCTAACTATCTCTCCTATAACTAGTATTTTGCTTACTTTATTTAGGCCTTATTAAAAGCAAGTACCTTAACCCCTGTACTATCTCTCTGGCCCAGAACTAATTTTGGGGAGGGGGGTACGAGGGGACACCCAGTTTTGCTCAGGGATTACTCCTGGCTCTGCCCTCCAGGATCTTCTTCTGGTGGGTTCAGGGGACCATATGGGATGCTGGGGATCGAACCTGGGTTGACCACATGCAAGACAAGTGCCTTACCCTGTGTACTACTGTTCTGGCCTTCCAGAACTAAAATTTGTAATTTAAATGCCAAGAAGAATCTAAGTGCTACTTACTCCTCTGTTGGGCAGTGCAGTGCTAGACACTTATGTTCAGGGCACAACTCACTGTCACCCATCGGCCAGTTCCACCCCATTATATGGCTCTGTGTAGCCTATCAGTGAAGAATAGGGTTTTAAATGGCTGGGGGAAAACAGCTCAAAAGGAGGATAGGACATATTAAAAATTATAAGAAACTCAAGTTAGTTCCCGTAAATGAAGTTTCATGGGAACACAAACCTTTCTGTTTGGTCTGTGCGCACACCCACACTCTAGCTACAAAACAGAGTTGCAGCAGAGTCCAGACAGCCTTCGAAACCTGAGATCTGCCCTATCTGATCCTTTATTGTAAAAAATTTGCTGGGCTGCACTCTTTACAATAGCCAGAATCTGGAAAAAAAACTGAGTGTCCGAGAACAGATGACTGGTTAAAGAAACTTTGGGACATCTACACAATGGAGTACTATGCAGCTGTTAGAAAAGATGAAGTCATGAAATTTACATACAAGTGGTACAATATGGAAAGTATCTTGCTAAGCGAAATGGGTCAGAAAGAGAGGGACAGACATAGAAAGATTGCATTCATCTGGAGAACATAAAGTAACAAAATAGGAGACTAACACCCAAGAATAGCCGAGATAAATACCAGGAGGATTACTCCATGGCTTGGAGACCAGCTACACATGCTAGGGGAAAAGGCAGCTCAGATAGAGAAGGGAGCACCAAGTAAAGGGTGTTGGGAGGATCATCCCAGGATGGGAGATGCATGCTGAGAGTAGACTATAGACCAAACATGACTGCCACTCAATGCCTCTTTTGCAAACCACAGCACCCAAAAGGAGAGAGAGAACAGAGGGGAATGCCCTGCCACTGAGGCAGGGTGGGATGGGGGGATGGGGGGTGGGAGGGATACTGGGATCCATGGTGGTGGGAAATGGGCACTGGTGGAGGGATGGGTGTTTGATCATTGTACAATTGAAGCCCAAGCACAAAAATGTGTAAGTCTGCAACTGTACCTCATGATGTCTCACTAATAAAAAAAATTTTAATTAAAAAAAAATTTGCCGGGCTGGAGGATAGTCCAGGGGTGAAGGACTATCCCTCACCCCCGTGAGGATGCCTTGCGCATGATGCCAACCCTCTCTGGTCCCCTAGCACAGAGCCAGGAGGAAACCCTGAGCACTCTTCAGGTGTGACCCGGAAGTTCTCTCCTCTTCAGTAAAAAACAAGTTTGCCAACCCCAGATCTAAAGACTGAGTAGAGGGAAAACGCCACAAATCCAAATGTCAAGGTTATGCTTTGACTGTGCGTCAACCCCGATCACTGTTTATTTTTGGTTTTTGGTTTTTTTTTTTTTTTTTTTTTTTTTTTTTTTTTTTTTTTGCTTTTTGCTTTTTGGGTCACACCTGGCGGTACACAGGAGTTACTCCTGACTTGTGCACTCAGAAATTACTCCTGGTGGTGCTTGGGGGAATATATGGGATGCTGGGAATCGAACCCGGGTCGGCCACATGCAAGGCAAACACCTTACCTGCTGTGCTATTGCTCCGGCCCCGACTGCCACTCTCATTTAAAGCACAAGGCAGCCCTATGAAATTGATGGGACAGGGCTGGAAGGTGCCAATAGACAAGTTACCTGATTTCCCCAATACCGCCCCTTTGACAAATGGCAAACCAAGGTCCATCTCTCTACTCTGATGCTCAGTCTCAGTGTCACATTGTCTCCTGGTTAGTGACAGGTTCCTTTATTCATGAGTCAGCCCCTCCCATGTGCAGAGACTCTGCCAGGCACTAAAAAACCAATGACAAATGAGGCTTCCCTCCCAGACTGATATTACAACAGAAAAGCAGGGCATCGATCATGTCCTGTGCGGTGTGCAATGAGACATGAGCAGGTCTTATGGGACTAAACCTCAAACGCGTCCTCGTCTAGTCTAGGGTATTGGGAAACCCTCCTGAAGTGAAGTGATATTTCAGCCACCACCTAAAGGACAAGTAGAATTCGGTGCCATAAGGATTGAACATCACATGAAGACGCGGGGCAGAAAGGCACTTGTTGAATTTAAGAAGATCAAAGTCCTGTGTTCTTGCATGATGCTGCCCTGTGTTCAGTCCCCAGCACCGCGTATGGTCAAGCCCTGCCAGGAATGATCCCTGAGTGCAGAGCCGGGAGTAAGCCCTGAGCACCACCAGGTGCGACCCAGAACAGAATGAAAACAAAACCAGGGGTCTGGGGCTGGAGCGATAGCACAGCGGGTAGGGTGTTTGCCTTGCACGCGGCCGACTTGGGTTCGATTCCCAGCATCCCAAAGGCTCCCCCAAACACCTCCAGGAGTAATTCCTGAGTGAAGAGCCAAGAGTAACCCCTGTGCGTTGCCGGTGTGACCCAAAAAGCAAAACAAAACAGAACAAAACAAAAACAAGGATCTGAGTGGTAGTGGGAGAGTAAGGCGTTTGCCTTACCTGCGGCCGGCACAGGTTTGATAAGATCCCCCAAGCCCACCAGGAGTGATCCCTGCATGCAGAGCCAGGAGTAAGCCCTGAGCACCGGCCAGGTGTGTCTCCAAAACTAAACAAACGAATCACACCAAAACAAATAAAACAGAGTAAGCCTCCAACGCTTTTCAGAACGCTATTCAGGTCTCCCAAAGAAGAATCGAAAGAGCTATGCTTGGAATATCACGTTTCACTCAAATGAGAGAACGAATCCGGAGTTCTGACATCCGTCGACGATCAAGGATCAGGGACGCTGTCTCATTTGCCAAGGTGTCGAAAACCAGATGGGCTGGTCACGTAATGAGATTTAAAGACGACCGTTGGACTAGAGCTGTTACTGATTGGATTCCACGGAATGTCAAGAGGCCGCGTGGCCGCCCACCTACCAGATGGTCAGACTTCTTCGTGAAGATCATGAACGATCAGTTTGAGGCCCTTCATGTTCCCGGAGCGAAGAGATGCCATTAGGCTACACTAGCACGCGACAGGGACAAATGGAGACGTTACTGGCGCCCGCTCGAGCAAATCGACGACTAACGGGAAGTTAAGTGATTAAGTGATTAAGCCTCCAAAAACAAAAGCAAATTCAGTTGCTAAGTGGCACAGTCTCATTCCAAGTGCTCAGTGGCAGCTTCTTTATAATCAGTGGCTACCCTACTGGATAAGGCAGAGCATTCCCTCTTATGCAGAAAACTGGGACTCAGGTTTTCTTTTTTTGGTTTTTTTTTTGGCGGGGGGGGGGTTGTTTTTGCTTTTTGGGTCACACCCAGCAACGCACAGGGGTTCCTCCTGGCTCTGTACTCAGGAATTACTCCTGGCGGTGCTCAGGGGAACCATATGGGATGCTGGGAATCGAACCCGGGTCGGCCGCGTGCAAGGCAAACGCCCTACCCACATGCTATCGCTGCAGTGCCTCAGATTTCTTTCTTTGCACTGAGCTGCACCTTCCTGCTAAGTGGTTTGGTGATGCAGAATTGATTGCACTGCCAGAAATGCGTTTGGGGTTTTGTTGTTGTTGTTGGTGGTGGTGGTGGTGGTGGTGGGTTTTTTTTTCTTTTGACTCTGAATCTTGGTAGAATCCAGATGTGAACTTGAAACCAACTTGACTCCCTGTTCAGAATGAACGCATGTTAAAAAAATAAATAAATAAAATGAAGGTTGGCCTGTTACTGGGACTCAGGGTGTTATTTGTCTCTTTCTTCTCTTCTAGAATGAAAAGAAAGTTTTATTCCTGGGAGGAATGCATGAACCTTCGGGAGGTCAAGGTATTTATTGGTGCTCTGGGGAAAACAGATGCATATTTGATGGAATCGTTTTACGCATCCTTAGGCTTAAAGTCGGTAGAAGTGTTCTGTTTGTGTGATAGCACTGAAGCCAGAACAGGACAAGCCATAACAATTCAGCCGCTGACAGCAGAAAGCAGAAAAGTGCCTATGCCAGAGAGTATGTGAGTGACTGTACTTTGCTGGGTCGAGTCCTATAATTCCAACCTTAGATTAATCCAGATCTCAATTCTTTCCCACTGATGTCCTCAGTTTCTTGCAAATTGTGCTGAAAGTACATAACAGTTTCCGTTTTGACCTATTGAAATGAGTCAGTTCAGTGGGAGCATCTTAGTCAAACGCTCCTACCATCCCTCACCAGAACTCTCATCGCAGAACTGAAGCTCTGCTCCCATTCGACATTCACCACCACCACCACCACCCTCCCCGGCCATGAATCCCCTACCCCCACCCCCTAGAAACCTCTCTCTGACTTCTTTTTTGCTTGTTGGAGTAGGGTCACACCCGGCAGTACTCCGGTGCTGCTCCCGGTGATGCCTGGGGTTTTTGCCTGGGTTTTGCCGCAGTCGAACCCACATGCTTATAGAGCCTGTGCCCCAGCCCTTTCAACTCTCACCTGTCCACCACCTTCCTGCTTTGTCCCAGTGAGCTGGACTCTGCTAGAACTCTAGACCCATCCCGTCTGTCTTTGTCTTTGTGACTGGCTTTTCACCTCCTGAAAATCATGGTCAAAGCACACTTCAGGCTAAGAACTGAAGGCTCCCCGCCCCTTGTCTAAGAATTCTGTCCTCGAATAAGCTTTAGAATACTTTTTCTCGGGGCTGGCGCGACGGCACAGCGGGTAGGGCGTTTGCCTTGCATGCGGCCGACCCAGGTTCGATTCCCAGCATCCCATAGGGTCTCCTGAGCACCGCCAGGAGTAACTCCTGAGTGCAGAGCCAGGAGTAACCCCTGGGCATCGCTGGGTGTGACGAAAAAAAAAAAAAAAGAAAATTGTTTTGGGGCTGGAGTAATAGCACAGCAGGTAGGGTGTTTGCCTTGCACGCGGCCGACCCGGGTTCGATCCCCAGCATCCCATAGGGTCTCCTGAGCACCGCCAGGAGTAATGCCTGAGTGCAGAGCCAGGAGGAACCCCTGCACATTGCCGGGTATGACCCAAAAAGCAATAAATAGATAGATAAATAAATAAACAAATATAAAATACCTTTTCTCTCTTCCATGAGTTTATGCTTGTTCGCTTGATGAGTTTGCCCTGGTTCATAGAAGTCTCTTCTGTTATTTGCAATGTTATTGTAAGCAAGCCACACCCCAGGGTGCTCAGAGACGTCTCCCCACTGTGCTCAGTAGGCTGTGTGAGGCCTGGGATCAAACCCCTCTCATACGCCCCAACTTCTGCACTATCTCCATGCCTTTTTTTGACGTGCAAGTGATAGAGACTATCAGTTGCCCTTGTGACTCACTGTGAAACTAGAGTTTCTTACAGACCGGCCAGTCATCCATGCTCAAAATGTACTTCAGGCGAAGAACTGAAAGCCTATTCTTATCCTGTTCTTAAAAAGCTATAAAATGTCTTTTTTTTCTCTTTTATTTCTTGGGTGAGTCTGCCCTTGTCAGCCCCCCGGACATTTCATCTGTTGTTTGCAAAGCAGTGTAAGCTAGCAGGCAGGAAAATGGCCGAGGTTCTTGAGAGTCTCATGAAAACTCACAGGCTAAATAACATCTGTGTTGGTTACTCTGGAGAAGTAGGACTCTTAACTAAAAGAAGTGATCTGCCCCGGTTGGGTCATTCTAGAAGGATCCAGCCAGTTTGCCAAAACAGCTGAGGACTTCCTGCCGGAAAGTCATCTTGGCAGGGACTTGCCCTTCAGGAAACAAATTTCCAGAAGGATCCTTTGTTCTCACTCACTGGCCATATTTCTTCTCCCTTCCCAGCTGTTGGAGGTAACTCGATCGCCTCATGCATCCCTAAGCTCGATCCCTAGGGTTTCTTATTATTACCAAATGTCCTTGCACATGTGTGATGTTCAGTTCAGCACCATCATCGTTAGTCATTGTGTTTATTTTCTGAAAAGGTTTTTTTAAGGGAATTCACAGATTTAAGAAAGCTTTATGAGTTATTATCAAGCACATTCTTTTTATCAAGCACAAATTTTTCTTAGACATATGTTTTTTTGTTATTTTTTAATTTTTATTAGTGAGACACCATGAGGTACAGTTGTAGACTTACAAATTTTTGTGCTTGGGTTTCAGTTATACAATGATCAAATACCCGTCCCGCCACCAGTGCCCATTTCCCACCACCACGAATCCCAGTATCCCTCCCACCCCCCATCCCTCCATCTCACCCTGCCTCTGTGGCAGGGCATTCCCTTTTGTTCTCTCTCTCCTTTTGGGTGTTGTTTTTTTTTTTTTTTTTTTTTTTTTTTTTTTTTTTTTTTTTTTTTTTATAATTTATTTATTTATTGAATCACTGTGGGAAAAGTTACAGAGCTTTCGGGTTTAGGTCTCAGTCATGTAGATACCGAACACATTTCCCTTTACCGATACTCATTTTTAACCCCGAACCCCAATAGACCCCCACCTCCCACCCCTCCCAATTCTTGTGAGGTAGATGAGTTCTAGTTAATACTCTATCTACTTTGACTAGATAGATTATTTCGATAAAAGATGCACAATTATTGTTAAGAGTTTACGACCCACCCCCCCCCCCCAATCAGACATGCTGAAACAGCGTTGTGAAATGATTTGCTTTCTACAACTTGGTTTAAGAATAAAATGATGTCGCGCGGCCGCGATAGCGGCCGCGCGGTTTTAAATTTCTGCTATTTTACTTATTGACCCTGGAAGAATTTCTATTAAAAGTTAGCTAGTTAAGAGATTGGTTTCTGTGTCCTGGAGTCGTGGCCGTGCCGGAGAGCCGCTCGTGGGGGGCAGCTGGCGACCCCGGTGGGGCGTGGGGGACGGCCCACAAAGCCCCCCTTCCCATGAGGTCCCCGCTGCTCCCCCCCCCGAGCCCGGCTCAAACCCACTTTCCACAAGGCTCCCGTGCGGCCGCCATCTTTCTTTCCAGAGAGGAACGGGCGGGCTGGTCAACGCCCTTCCCCCTCCGGGCAGGCTTGGTGGCGCGGATCAACACGAGTCCATTTGCTTTTCTGCTCCAAGCGGCTGGTTCTCTGTGCTAAGTCCTTGTTGGGTGTTGTTTTTTAAAATTAGTTTATTTTTTTAACAAAGCTGTTCATGATTGGGTTTCAGTCATACAGTGTTCCAACACCCATCCCTCCACCAGTGGACATTTCCCAGCACCAGTGTCCCCAGGTTCCCTCCAAGCCATCCCCCACCCCATCTGCCTCTATGACAGGCACCTCTCTCTCTCTCTCTCTCTCTCTCTCTCTCTCTCCTCTCTCTCTTTTTAGGCATTATAGTTTTCAATACAGATGTATGGTTTGCAATACAGATGCTGAAAGGTTATCATGCATATCCCTTTACCTGCTTTCAACGCTCAGTTCTTGTCCAGAGTGATCATTTCCAGCTGGTGCTGTCACACTGGACCCTTCTCTGTCTTAAGTACCCTCCGCCGACCACCCCCACCCTTAAGCTCATTCTTTATCTGGAAAAAGCTTTTTGAATGAAGGAGTTCATCCTGCGGGCCAAGGTGACCCTTGGAGACTTCCTGTGAGCAGACCCACGGCTGACTTGGCGGTGCCACCAGACTGCCACTCAGGGGTAGAGACTGGTATTTGTTCACCACGCTGGCACAAGTAACAATGCAAACAGAGAATAGTTTACACACGGCAGGACTGTGCTGTATGTTCTGGGACGAACTAAGCTACCTCTGTGCAAGGATGAATAATCAGAATCACACGCCATGTTCAGAGCCAACTCCTTGGCTCTTACTTCTCATCACTCTTCTGACTTAGTTGTTGTTATTATTTTGTCTCTGTTGTTCTTGGAAGCAGATATATTTTTTCCATTTCTTACATCTCACTTTCAGGATCCTCAATGAGATGAAGACCTGTATCGATAAGATAAGGCTCTTCTTCTCCCCCTGTAGAATTTATATGGGGGGCCCAAGATTAAAGCACTTGCCTTGCATGTGGCCTACCCCAGTGCAATCCCGAGCATCACAGATGGTCCCCCGAGCCCAACCAGGAACGAGCCCAGTGCACTGAGCCAGGAGTAAGCTCTGAGCATCGCCAGGTGTGGCCCCCAAACCAATGTGGTCTGTGACCCACAGATCCATATGAGTCAGGTGAGAGTTGGGAGAAGCAGACCAGCAAGCGTCTGTGTGGATCATTCCCTGTGGAGGTTGGCTGAAGACAGTGAGTTGGTCATTGGAGCCCAAGGCAGCCGCCTCATTTTCCTCTATTCATTCCCTCTGACTGTTCTCATCGCATGAACTAGGAGAGAATGTACCTAGCTTAGTCCTGGTCCACTGCTGGGTGCGGGAGCAACTGAAAATGCCAGGGAGCTACGCACTTGACCTTAGACTCAAATAAAAGAGGTTTCTACAGGAAGTTACTGTCAACTGTAGTGAAATGCCTTTGAGTAAAATTGTCAGTAAAGGGACCGGAGAGAGAGCACAGCAGGTAGGGTGCTTGCCTTGCATGCTGTCTACCTGAGTTCAATCCCCGGCATCCCATGTGGTCCCCCAATCACCGCCAGGAGTGATTCCTAAGAGCCAGGAGCAACCCCTGAGTATTGCCGGGTATGGTCCAGCAACCCAAAAGAAAAAAAAATTGTCAGTGAAATATGAACTGTGTCAGAGCAGTGTGGTTGGAACTAGAGGGCTGGTCATGGGATCATGGCAAGAAAAGTCATTCAGAGGGAGAAGGATAAATCAGGAGTGGTCTCGCTCACCGTTGGTTACATAGAAAGATTTAAGAAAAGGAACAGACAGTAATATTTGGTTTACAAAACTGAGGTTACGAAGCAGAGAGTCAAGGGGGATGGAGGAGGGAGCAAGTGACAGGAGGAACAGGGTCAGTGGTGGAGGCTCTGAGGTACTTCGATGGCGATGAAGTTGCAGTAACTTTGTACGCTAAGAGCGTAGCTGTTAACACCGTTGTGACCATGCTACCTAAGCTATAATCACAAATTAATTAAGTTGAGCAGAAAACATAGTCTGTACATTTCTGTGGTTATAGAATTGTTTTGATTATACGTAGGATTGCTTTTCTTTGCAGCAGTAAATCTTTTTTTTTAACTTTTTGCTATTTTTTTCCCCTTCCATTTTAGTCTTTAAAGAAGCTCAACCATGCCAATGTAGTAAAATTAAAAGAAGTTATCAGAGAAAACGATCATCTTTATTTTATTTTTGAGTACATGAAGGAAAACCTCTACCAGCTCATTAAAGAAAGGTACAGTGTGATCTTTGCATGGTGAGAAATATTTTAAACTGCCATCAGAGGAGGGGCCTAGCTCACATTTCCTGCCTTGGAGGTCTTGTGGTCACTTCATGGAAATTACTTGTAATGCAACTGTTTTTGTGCTTTAGTGGGTCATTCACCCCAAGAAGCTCAACAGATGCTTTACAGCTCTATTTTAGTTCTATTATAAATACTTGCTAAATTTGAACTTTACAAGTGAACCACATAGATCCTCTTGGGCACTTTCCAGATGAATGCCACTCATGGCATCTCTCCGAGAGTGAGCGAATGAACAACTGCCTTCACAGCAGAGAGGTGATGTGGTTTGGACCACCAAGAAGAAATCCTTACCATCCCCTGCCTTTCAAAAGTTCATCTGGAAAACCTTAAACTTTCCCCATTTAAAATTTTCACTTTAGTTTATATTGTGGAGAGATGAGACCTTTTTTAAAAAATTGCCATATTAGAGGGAGAAGATTACTATAAGATACTGAATCTTCTTTGTAAATAGGTGTATTTATCTACTGGGATGTATTTGGTGCTTTTTCTTATAGGGATAAATGTTTCTTATCAAAGGATCTGGTCAAATTAGCATATACGTACTTAGGTTTTAATTTTTGTTTTTGTTTTTTTGTTTGGGGGACACATCTGGCAATGCTCAGGGGTTATTCCTGGCTCTGTACTCTGGAATCAGTTCTGGTGGGTTCAGGGGACCATCTGGGATGCTGTGGATTGAACCTGGGTCAGCTTTTTGCAAGGCAAGGACCCTAGTACCTGCTGTACTATTGCACCAGCCCCAACATGAAGACTAGGCACAAATTTTGTTTTCATATGTAAATCTATATTTCTAACTTTTTTTCCTCTGTCCCATACAGAAATAAATTGTTTCCTGAGTCTGCTATAAGGAATATCATGTATCAGATATTACAAGGTCTTGCATTTATTCACAAACACGGTAAGTGATTTGAAGTACTGTTTTTTCTTTTTTGATTGAATCACCGTGAGATACAGTTACAAAGCGTTCATGTTTGAGTTTCAGTCATACAATGATCGAACACCCATCCCTCCACCAGTGCACATTTTCCTCCACCAGTGGGCTGGAGCGATAGCACAGCAGGTAGGGCGTTCGCCTTACAAGCGGCCAACATGGCCGACCCGAGTTCGATTCCTCCGCCCCTCTCGGAGAGCCCGGCAAGCTGCCGAGAGTATTCGATATGCCAGACACAGTAACAACAAAGTCTCCAATGGAGACGTTACTGGGCCCGCTCGAGCAAATCGACGATCAATGGGAGGGCCTTTAGTGTACCCAGGATCCCACCCCACCTCCATCCCACCCTTCCCCTGAAAGAAAGGGACAGACATAGAATGACTGCACTCATTTGTGGAATGTAAAATAACATAATATGAGACTGACACCCAAGGACAGTAGAGACAGGGCCAGTGCTGTGTTTTTCAATAGCAGCAAAATATCACCATCACATTGCAGACAGGAAGCCTAGATGTCTTTATAATTGACACCAAGAAAAGATTAAAGAGTCGAGAGGCTAATAGTGAATTTTGGAATCTGTCTTATGACTTGATTTCTGAATATTGTCCTTATTTGTCCTATCTACATATTCTTTTTTTTTCTAGATTTTTCTTAGTGAAACACCATGGGGTACACTTGTAGATTTACAAATTTTTGTGCTTGGGTTTCTTACCTCTAGGCTTTAATATTGAACTTGTTGATGATACACCTGAGATTTTTGTTTCTAACCACAAACTGGTATAATAAGCCTTAGATTAGAACTCAGAGAAGATTCACAAATTTTATTTATGTGTTTATATTTATTGAATCACCATGTGTTGGGCTGGAGCAATAGCACAGTGGTAGGGCGTTAGCCTTGCAAGCAGCCAGCCTGACCAAGCCAGGTTCGATTCCTCCGCCCCTCTCGGAGAGCCCGGCAAGCTACCGAGAGTATCTCGCCCGCACGGCAGAGCCTGGCAAGCTCCCCGTGACGTATCCGATATGCCCAACACAGTAACAACAAGTCTCACAATGGAGACGTTACTGAACCCGCTTGAGCAAATTGATGAACAACGGGAGGACAGTGACAGTGACAGTGACACCATGTGTTACAAAGGTGCTTGTGATTGAGCTTCAGGGGTGCAGTGTTCCAGCACCTGCCCCTTCACTAGTGGCCACCACCCTCATCATCACATCTCATCTTTAACCCATGAAATGCTTTGTCATGGATTTTCATTTTCCTAATATGTAAGTGTCTCAGTTTGTTCCAGAGGCATTAAAAAGAAATGGTCTAATAAGATTCAGACAACATAGGAAAATAAAACTCAACAAAGGACAGGGGAAAAGGCATGAAACCATAGGGGTAAAATTAGCCCTCACAATGCATGTTATTCGGTTTTGTATATTTGATTCTAGCTACCAGCAAAATGTGAAACATGATCAATTATAACCTCTATCATACCCTAGAGTAAAGACATATCAGTTGCTCAATAATAGCAGAATTATCATTGGTATTTTTTGAAACCAGAGATTTTTTTTTTCTCACGGAATGAATAGTCCAAAATGTCATTGCATGGTCAACATAATGACAGGTTACAAAGGGCAGTTTCAGGGTAAATCCCTCCATAGAGGCCAGTATTATGCCACAGAAACAGTTCCACTGGGGTTTAATATGATATACTCAAGGGATGGTCTATCTAATCCGAAGAGTGATTTAGAGAGTCTAGAATGAATGATCCATTGGAATCTATGTACAACCCCCTTTCCAGAAAAAGAACTGCTCCGTCCCACCCCGACCCTTCTCGTTGTCCTGCTCCCCACCCCACCCCCCATCATTGTCCTAGCATACCCTAGGGAGTGTTCACCTCCACTTTGGAAAATGCTTCTCTAGATGAATGAGTAGTCACATACTCCAGGAAAATCCTGGATGACAATAATAGTTGGAAATGATCGCTTTGGACAGGAACTGAATGTTGAAAGCAGGTAGGTAAAGGAATATACTTGATAACTTTTTAGTATCTGTATTGCAAACCAACCATGAGAGAGAGAGATAGAGACAGAGGGGGACAGAGAAAGAAAGAGAGACAGAGAGAGGTAGAGAGAGAGAGAGAGAGAGAGAGAGAGAGAGAGAGAGAGAACAGAGAAAGTCCGCACCTGCCATAGAGATGGGGCAGGAGAGAAACTGAGGACACTGATGGTGGGAAATATACACTGGTGAAGGGAAAGATATTGGGACATTATATGACTGAAACCCAACCATAAACAGCTGTGTAACTGTGTATCTCACCTCGCCTGCACGGCAAAGCCTGGCAAGCTCCCCGTGACTATTCAATATGCCAAACACAGTAACAACAAGTCTCAAAATGGAGATGTTACTGGGCCCGCTTCAGCAAATCGATGATTCAACTAAACACTAAAAATTTTTTTTAATCCAAAACAAGAAAACTCACATTGAAAAAAAAAAGAAAATCCTTCATCAATTTGTTCTTCTTGACTGAGCTTTTTAAAGATGTTGCAGAGCAATGACGGGAGGTTCTACTTTTTACTAAGTATCTGAGGCATTGCTAGTCTTGATTACTAACTGGATTCAGTCCCAGCTAGGGTTGGATGGAAGCCTTCTCACGAACTCAGGGTGGCAGGATGAATGCATCCAGCAGTAGAGAGCCTGAAGTCCCCTGAAGTGGCAAAGGAGTTGATCTTGCACAGGCAGAAATAGGTTCATTTGGGGCCGGAGCGATGGCACAGCAGGTAGGATGTTTGCCTTGCACGCGGCCGACCAGGTTTCGATCCTCGGCATCCCATATGGTTCCCCCCAAGAACCGCCAGGAGTAATTCCTGAGTGGAGAGCCAGGAATAACTCCTGAGCATCGCTGGGTGTGACCCAAAAAGCAAAAAAAAAAAAAAAGAAAGAAAGAAAGAAATATTTTCACTCCCCAGTCTAAGGAGATGTTTGCCGTTGCAAATATTGCAATAGCGGGTTTCATTACCCAGTACTGTTTGATAGTACTGTTTGTTCAGCTCCAAACTGAGTAAACAGCTCTTGTGCCATGGTTGAGGGTATGGTACATCCGGGGTCATTCCTAGCCTAAGATTGTTCCACCGTATGTGGTGCCTCCCGATTAGTCTCGAGTGGAATGAAAGAGGCAAATAATGACTGTGCAAAATCCTTGCCAACCTCAGGCACGTGCTCATTAATCAGCAATACAGAGGCCAGACTGCAAACCAGTTCTCGTCGAGAGTTACTCGTAAAGGGTCTCTCGGATTCAGCTGACCGGGATAGAACCGGCACGTTGAATTTTATTCTCGAGAACTCACAAGGAAAGGAATGAGGTTGCAAAACACAGAAAGCTTCTGAGAAGGTATCTTCAGGACAAATACAGCGAGAAGTATTTCCTATAAGTCACTACTGGATTTAAAAGCTCAGGAAAAAGAAACGATGAAAAATAAAAGAGAAAGGTCCAACCCGGGATGTTTGCAAGTAGGGAAGCCAGACACAAGTGTCGTAGTTATTTGGGCTATTTGGGTTATTCGTTTGTGTTATCCCTTTTTCATTTTCTGTTGATTTTCATGAGACCCAGATAATTGTTACAAGAGAAGATTTGTGCAGCCTTTTATATAGGTTGATGTATACTGTTAACAATACTGTGTACTGTTAAACACACACACACACACACACACACACAACCTCCTAGTTGGTACTAATTTGAGCAACACACCAACTCATACATACTTTTGAACATTATCTACAATTATACATCTCCACATGCACATGGATTTACACATAAATTCCTCCTCCTTCATACACGCCCACAATCACACCCACAAATATCCATGCATGAGCACATACAATATATACTTGTGTCCAGTAATTTAGTATCCATATACTCTTGTGTTCAGACAGCTCTTTGGACATCAGCCCAATTTCCCTCCAAACCCTTCACACTTAAGTTGTGCATTGAACCAACTCGGGGAAAGACTCCGTTTATGGTGTGCGGACCCCCTTTGCTCTGAGAACCCCGGCATTCCTGCTATTTCTAGAGATTTTCATTGATAGTTCCCTACAGCCGGCAGAACTCAGATCTGGTTCGAGCTTTAAAAGATTTGATCTGTTGCCTTGTTTATTCCCTGGCCGATTGCTCAGATAGAAAGAATAGATGGACATCTAGTTCCTTCGAAGAAGAGGAAATTGAGGGTAAAAGACCTGTCAGGAACCCCACTTGTAATAAAAGCAGAGCAGAGATTAGCTTAGATATCTGTGCCCATTCGTCATGCTTTGTCAGAAGAAAAAAAAATTAAACAACAACAGAGCCTGTCTGTGCTCAAAGGAGCAAGAAAATAAGAGATGAAGTAGTGATAATAATTGTAAGTGTCATGGGCATTTATTTTGCCAGTTACACCTCATTTTTATTGCGAGTTGCTTTTTGGGTGGTTGCTAGATGCTTTTTTTTTTTTTGGATGATTTGCAGATGGTATTGACTGGCCTTTGCTGAAGTGTCCATGTAAATCTCTGTCAGTCCCTTTTCCAGTCGTGGAAAAAATCATCATCTCCATCACTCCACAGATTCGGCTGTGAGTGTCGGGCTCTGCCCTGTTAGCAGTTTTTCACTCTGAGAAGGTGTGTTCCAGCCCGCGGGGACTGGATTCCTTTGAGAGGGAGAACAGCAGTGCAGGCAGTTGCTATGGCCGTAGTTCATGTCACCGAGAGCTCCCCTCCCGCAGGGAATGGAAACACGCCGCCCCTCGGTACTGATTGAGCAATGCCGACGCATAGGTACTTTGCAGGAATTAATTACCGCCAAGCAGAGTTCATCCTTGACCTGCCCTTGCAAATACCCAGCCCATACCTGTCTCTGCGGCTAATCCTGGATGCGGGCGGGCGTCTTGGAGGACGATGTGCTGAGACGGTTCCCTTCTCTGCCTCGGCCCTTGTATCAGTGTGCCCTGTGTCA